TAGGTCATCAGAAAAACAAACCTCCACCAACACAAGAAAACAAATGGGTAATAATGAAATGGGACAAAAAGCGAAGTTAATGGATGGGCCATGCTTGCAGAGTATCACTTTGCTGAAAGCATTGTGCATATACTGATTCATTTAACAACTGTAGGCGGCCAGTAGCAGAAGCCTCCTCTGACACAGGAGAAAGCAGTCTTTCTTCGCCTTCTAAATCTATGGTCCTCCAAGTGTGGCTCCGGGACCCACCTACTCCCTGGGGAGCCGCTGGAAGTGCCCATTCTCAGGTTCCACCTGGACGTACTGACCAGAAACGCTGGGCACGGGGCCGTATTGTGGAACACGCTCCAGATGCTTCTCATGACCAAAGGACTTCAGGAGCCACTGTCACAAGAGCTGGGGAGTTGATCTATTATGTCTCTGCTCTGTCCTTAACCACTATGCTACCTTGCTAATCACCCAGAGATGGAAAATATTAAAAAAGAAAAGAAAAAAAGTCAAAGAAATGTGAACTCATGAATCAAGATTGCTGGGTATCTAACTTCTGTTGTAGAGAATTTGCTTTTTTCTTTCTCCCTATTGAGGAGAATGGAAAACACAAGAAAGCAGCTGAGGAGGTACAATGGAGACAGTCTGACAAGTTACAGACACTGCCAGCTCTTTTAGATCTGTCTGATTAGCTGTTAGGTCCCCAGCTAATGCCCTCCATTTAAGGACCACAGGGAAGTAGTCCTCCCTGACTTTGTCTGCGTCGAGCTGGGAAATCCGGTCCACTGTGCTTCTGAGATCTGGCCGCCCCATCTTTGTGTGCTTCTCACCACAAGGCTTCCCTGGATTTTGTGCCTTTTCAAATGCTATGAATTCTCTCCAAATAATTCTAAGAAATGTTCCCTGATTTCCCTGATTTAGTTCTCTTACTTCAGAATATTTCTATAAAAAGTAATATTTTCATAAAATGGCATCATAGAAGTTGTTACTGCAAAACATCTGGCCTCTTGGTTGGTTTCTTAGGGTTTCATGTGGGTGAGTCCTTTTTTTAAAAAAAATTATTTATTTGATACAGGGTCTCACTATGCAGCTCAGACTCAGTGATCCTCCTGTCTCAGCTTCCCCAGCTGGTCTGAGACACCACCACACCTGGTTTTGGTGGCTGGCACAGTGTGCCCGGGGTTCTGGGGCTGGCATGGCATGTGATATTGGGTCTTTGTGCTTGCCAGGCCAGTGCTGAGACTGCTGAGCTATCTCCCCAGCTGAGTCCTTCTTAATAATGTTGTCAGCGTTACCGCTGTCTGCTGCCCTACGGTACCTCTTGTGGTGGGTCACAGCCACCCACTAGTGCTTAGGCTACTTTCTTAGTAAAGACCTCCATTGTAGATTTATAGCTAGTGTCCTCCTGAACTCACACATATTGTGTAACTTGCTCTGGCCAATAAAGTGACACGTTGCTTCTGGGCAGAAGTTAGTCAAGACATGGCTGCCAGGTTTTCCTTGTCACAAGCCAGCAATGTGGGCTAGCTGGGGTCCTTGGGAAAATGACAGCCAACAGAGTTACGATCAGTGAGGGAGATGGAAGATGAGTTTTAAACCTTTATCATGCTGTTATTTACTATTGAAATGGTGAGGCCTTTTATGTATGTAGTACAGTCTAGTCTATCTCATCTGGTTTCTGTAACCAACCTTAACTTCATCATACTTTCTGCCAATACCAGTGCCTTTTCAGACATGGGTGACCAGAAACAGAAAATTCTGTGGAGGTGACCCTAAATTCAGAAACTTTATTTTAAAACTACTCAACCCAAATTATCAACTTCTAAACATGTCATATAATTTTGCTTTTGTACCACTGAGCATAGAGATACACAACCCCCTGTTTATAGGAACTATGCAGTTTACATCTAAATATCTATAGATAATAGTCAAACATAAATATTATATGAAGGGGCTGGGAAGATAGCTCAGTAGACTAAGTGCTTGCCTGGCAAGTACAAGGGACTGAGTCAATCCCTGGTTCTGAAAAAAAAAAA